TAGGACAATTTTAACAGGATGATTTGCACAATTGGAAGATAGTCACGCTAAAGGTAGCTAGTTTTATTTGTTGTTGACATCTCCTATGTAGTCGGGTTTTTGTATAGATGTTAGCCAATATTTTGGGTTATATTACAATTTATATAGTATTTTTTGCATATAGCATGTATATATTTAGTATTAGATACTGATTTTATTTTAAACTCTAGTTTTGATGTATATTGCTTATTCTTACGCTATACAATAATTATTCAGTAGTAAGTATATTGACATATTAGATCGTTACAATTTAAATGATAATGGATAAAAAAATATTAATTAAAATTTCTATTTTTTTTTTCAAAAATATTACACTCTTTATATATATATATATATATATATATATTTTTTTTTTGAAGAGACAACGGCTGCAGGGATGTGGAAGATGTTGGAAGATAAATTCCCGTAGAAATCCCTAACCAATCGGTTGTATCAGAAGCAACGTCTCTATACCTTGCAGATGTCTGAGAATATGTCTGTGAGAGATCATCTTGATAATTTTAACCGAATTATCTTGGACCTACAGAGTATTGGAGTTAAAGTTGATGATGAGGATCTAGCTATTATTTTGTTATGCTCTCTGCCAAAATCATATGAGAATTTTATTGATACTATGTTGTATGGATAATTTTGTCATGCTGCTTATTCCAAATGGAATTGCAGGACTTTAAAAATTCGCTAGTATGTTGTTCTCGTTATGGCTTGATCTTGCTGGCTGACTGATGATAGTGAATGTAATCTTACAGCGTAAGCTACTGGGTAGTCATGGTTATAATTCTATAAATATTTTTTTATAACTAAAATCTATGACATTCCGTATGATATGGGTTGATTCATGAGAAATGTCCCGGTTCATGTTAGAGAAAGCTGGTAGTCCAATAAGTAGTGAGCAGTAAAACTAACGGTGAGTAAAACAAACATGGGAGCTATTGAGCTAGCTGAACCAGTGAATGTTTCGGTCTGGCCTTCCAGTTGTAGTTGATCCAATCAGTCCAGAACCTGCAGTAGTTTAACTAGCATAATCAAGGCCGGTAAAGAGGAAAGTGATTCCCTTATTTTGGTGAAGAAATTCTTTGAGCTTGTCTTCTGTGAACTGCAATTCTGCTTTTCACTTTGTTGGCCATTGACCGAGGGCATCCCTTGTTTTGTCTATCATCATCATATTTGACCTTCTAGTTATGAGTCGAGGGACTTTGTAACATTGAATAGTATAACATAACTCTTGCCAATACTTCTTCCTTGATTGCCTTTCTTACTTTTTGAGGGGAAAGTCAACTAATTGAATTCTCTATTTCCTCTGGAGCGCAATAGAATTCAATTAGTCTTTTAAATGGTGGCTATACCACCACTATAGCAGTGTAGCGTGGCCAAGTGGTTCCTGATCGCTGCAGGGTCCACTATAGCAGAGCAGTACAATGTAGTGCCTATCGTAGGCGAAATAGCAGCTGTAATGTATGTGTTGAGATGCCTTGAATTTATAATTTTGTCCGTTACTATTTTCACTATTATTTGGGTTGTAATGAGGCTGTTATATTTTATCCTTGTTATAAGGCTAAAAGGAATCTGTATCAGATATCTCAATTTATTCAGAAATAAGAAACTCTTGAACTGCCCGTGGATGTAGGTCACACTGACTGAACCACGTAATTTGTGTGTCATCTTCTTTCTCTTCTCTTTCTTTTACATATTGTCATAACAATTGGTATTAGAGCTCTAGGTTACGCTAGGGCCTGATCTGAAGAAATGCAATGTCTTCGTACAAATTTGATATTGATAAATTCAATGGATCGAATGATTTCACTTTGTGGAAATTGAAGATGAAAGCGGTTCTTGTGCATCAGGGTTGCGCTGCAGCACTGGAGGCTGCGGATAAATTACGCATAACTATGACTGATGATGAAAAGAAAGCGATGTTGGAAAAGGCGCACAGTTTGATTCTCTTGAGTTTGACTGATGAGGTTCTGCGAGAGGTAAGTGAAGAGACAACGGCTGCAGGGATGTGGAAGATGTTGGAAGATAAATTCCCGTAGAAATCCCTAACCAATCGGTTGTATCAGAAGCAACGTCTCTATACCTTGCAGATGTCTGAGAATATGTCTGTGAGAGATCATCTTGATAATTTTAACCGAATTATCTTGGACCTACAAAGTATTGGAGTTAAAGTTGATGATGAGGATCTAGCTATTATTTTGTTATGCTCTCTGCCAAAATCATATGAGAATTTTATTGATACTATGTTGTATGACAGGGATAGTATTACTCTCAACAATGTGAAGGACAACTTACAATCTAAAGAATTGAAGAGAAGAGTAGTCTCTAGTTTTAATGTGGATGATGTAGAGAAAGTTGAATTCTCAACCTATGTGTATTTTATGAAAAAATTAAATTAAATAATTATAAAAAAAATATTTTTTTTCTAAAAATATTTTATTATAAAGTAATTATCAAACACAATAAATCAATATTTCTAATTTAAAATTCTAAAATAAATTTTTAAAAAAATTTGTGTACCACACGGTGCTAATAATCTCAGGTAGGTATCTTTCCATTTCCTTCCATTTTGTTTGAACCTATGCTTGCTTTGGTCTCGGGATGTTTATAGGTAGTGTTTTAAAACCCGGACCGACCCGGCCGGTCGGACCAGTTGGACCGGGAACCGGTGGTCCAGCCAGTCCGAATCTGAAGTTGGATCGGTTATGCAGTCGACCCGTTTCAAACCGGATTGAACCGGTCAATTTTCCGGTTCAACCGGTGAACCGGTGGGTCAAACCGGTTCAACCACTTTTTTTTTTTATTTTTTTTTAGGGACCATAAATCACAAAAATAATAATGAAAATTGAATCTCTTAATGAAAAAGCAAGGAGTCTTATTAAATATAACAATGACTACTTGTTCTAATATATTTGTTTGCAATATATACAACTTAAATAACTTTTATAGTATATTATTAATTTTAAATTATATATTTAATAATGCAATATCTATGTAAATATTACATATATTATTTTGTGATATTAATTGCAAGCATATTATATATGTACATATTATTTATATTTTTAATTTGTATTAATATACCGTTTAACATGTAATTTTTTTATGTATTTTTTTACAAAATAAAAATAAAAATAATTTTAAATAAGATAGAAAAATTTAAATTTAAAATAAGATATGAATTTATTAAAATTTATAAGTATAAATATATTTAATATGAATATTTTTTAATAAAAATAAATAAAAATCGAGTCATGCGGTTCAACCAGTGACCCACCGGTTCAACCTTTGACCCACTGACCCAATATCTTAACCGGTTCGATAAGCCGATTTTTAAAACTATGTATAGGTACTCCAAATAAAACTGCCAACAGTACGTAACATTAATTTGAAGACAACGTTTTTTTGTTTCACTATAACATATTCCACGCCAAAATTTCGATAATAAACATTACTCCTATCTTAAAATGTAAATATGTACTTCAAAATAAGTGTCTCCTAAGTCTTAAATATTAGTACTAACTTTCAGTATATCTTTTATCACAACTATATCTTTTTTAATTCACGATAAAACTAGAACCGAGACTTTTCTTAATATATCTAAATTTAATTTCATTCGAATCAACAACTTATACAAAATTTAATTATTTAACAAGAAATCAAATATTAATAATATTTGAAAAATAAAAGGGTACGACGAAATAAATTCCTCCTAAATACAAGTGATTATTCTCTATGAGTCTTATCTATTATTTTTCATCCACAACAAAATTATAATTTGAGACTTTTATTTAATATATCTAAGTTTAATTTTACTTGAATCAATCACTTATTAATAATTTAATGAGAGATTGAATAATAATAATGTTTGAAAAATAAAAGGGTACATGAAGTTTATGATATTTATGAATTGAATTCAACGGATTATTTTTTGTCTTTATGATCTGTTTTTGTCTTCTACTTTTACCATTTGATTGACTTATTTTAAAAAAAAATTCTAATTTAATCTAATTTAATCTAAATTTGTTTGGATTGAATTGATTTTTTATTTTATTTATTAAAAGAGTAGTTACTAAAATGTTTTTCTTTTATAATATATTAGTTGAGTTGAGGTATTTCGTACTTTTATTAAAAATAAAATAAATAATAAATAATAAAATATATTAATATTATAATTAATTTATTAATTTCAAGTTTTTAAATTTAATTAAAAA